CCTACTTCCGTAGTGATACTGCCTCGGAAACCCAAGGAGGGGTCGCTATGAGTCGGGGCCGACTCGACGGCACATAACAACAACAACAACAAAGGGAAGCAACAGGCTACAATTCAAGTTCAGGAAAAACGTTCAGTCTCTCTCCCACCAATGCATGTCTCTCAGTGTCTCTCTCTCAGCACTGCATGTCTCGGTGTCTCTTTCTCAGCAGCGTGTGTCTCTCAAGGACATGTTTCTCTCAGCAGCAGGTCTTTCTCAGCCATCAGTCAGAGAGACTCCTTCTGCCTCTAGGAGGGCTCCTTCTGAGGCTGAACCAGCCAATCCCAACATCAGAATTCTATACACCTGAGAGAGAACGAACTTCCCAGAAAATTACTTTGTGCTGCTCCCAACATCAATACCCCAGGTGGATGACTTTAACAATCAGGAACTACTCAGTTTCTCACAGCAAATTCCAGCGTGGAGTTTACAAAGACTTATGGCTAGAAAAGCCATACCAAGTAATTTACTACACCGCAGAAGTAGATTACCAGGTCCTTCTTCCTAGTATGTATTAGTCTAGAAATTTTATTGAAACTTGTCCACCCATAGGTGACCCTGCTGGTTTTTTAAATACCAGTGGCATAACTTCTAGCATCATAGCAGCACACAAGTCACATAATGACAAACTGACAGACAAGTGGTGGAAAGACTATTGCTGTCCTTCAAAACACTGCAACCTGACTCTCATGAAGTTCATTCCTCAAATAATTTTACAAATGTAAAGACAGAGTTCTCAATTGTGGTGCAAGTACTGTGACTTTAAGCCTTTCTAAAGCTAAATGTAATTTATGATTTTAGTATTACAACATATTTAGATAACTTTAATAACAGAACTAAATCTTTTTGTCATTGAACGATGAATTTAACAAACTTTTAAATGCAAGAAAAATAAAATTTCACAGTACTGTTTGCTAGATACTTCCAGCCAGTATACTGAAAATGTTATTACATGAATATGGGTACTCCAGAAAACTA